GGGCTTCTCTTCCTTTTCCTTTGTTGTCCTTTTCCTTCTCTGTTCGTTCTATTTTCTGTTCGTTCTAAAGAAAAGAACAAAGGAAAGGACAGCTTAGATAATACACATGGCAACAGAACATAAAAATAACAAAGGAGCAAATACCGGAATGGGAGGAGTTGATAAGAATCTTATCACTATATTCTATCTATAGGGTCAGTCTTCATAAAATGAAAGGGATGTCAAAAACCCTAAGTTTTTTCAAAAAGAAAAACACCCCCTACGAAAGTAGATTCTATCTACTCCAGGATGATTATATATGCAGAATTTGCAGTATTCGTATACCAAACCATACAAAAACGTAAAATAGCAACGCATTCTGTACCTTTCATACAGTCCAGACTTGAAGTTTTTGCGCTTACTGTGAACCGGACAGGTGGGCTATGGACTTCCAAAACAAGAACTGGTTTATAGTTTCAAACACACTGACATCAGTGCCCAGTCTAAGCTTCATCTCACAAAAATATATTCGCGTTGATTTAAAAGCCTCGCGGTGCGAGTCCCACCAATCCACCAGCGGGTTGAACTCATCGGCCCACGCTGGAATTTCCCTTGACAAGTGCAGCCACTTTTGCACACGGACCTGCAAGTGTTCAAAGAGCGTTTTGAAGCACAGGGCAGCCTTGCTGCTGCTTTGGTTTCTCCAAACATAATCTCCTTTTTTGGTCCACTCTGCACCTGGTCACTGGCAAGCACGAGATCCCCCGATTGAAGGGCTGCCGTCAGTCGTATTTGACCATCCAAAAGCTCGAGTGGGAGCCTTGTTGCAAGGGGACAAAAATGCAACCGGACAATTCCAAAAGGAATATGTTTTAGGCCAGAAATGTTGCTGCTGGAGTGATGGGAGGCGTTGCGTAATCCTGACTACACTCCACACGTGCATGTTCGTACCAAAATAGAGTCACGCTTGAGATATATATATATATACATATATATATATATGTATACGAGTTTCATTCATGAAGGGGTATTTGTGCCCACGCTTTGGCAGCCATCTTCAGGTCTTGCAAGAAAGTCCGCATCTTATATTATGCCATCATGAAGTCTGATAAAGCTCCATGTGTGAGTTTCTCTCTTGTCTTCGCGCCCAAAAGGCCCGTCAATTTTCCCATAGCCTGTCCATTTCACAGTGTGGGTCAATTCGTTCTAGGTTCCTTTTGCTGCATCACAAACAAAATAGACCTGCAACAAGTTGTCATAAAGCCGCATCGAGTTTGAGGCCCTTGCTGTGAGGCTTGAACGTTGCAAGCTGCAAAGGATTTACACATTGTTGGCACCACCAAACCTTCAAATCCTCTACATCAAAACTCTTCAAAAAACTTCCAAAATCATGAAGAACCTTCAGCAATTCACAGCCCAACAGCTACAAATGCCCTCCATAGCTCCACAACCCTCAGTCACGATCGACTCAGTTTGAGGTGCTCGAAGAACACATGGCCAGATCTTCGAAATTTTTCGCAGAATGAGAATTTCCTCGCAAAGCTCTCCACCTCCAAAAACCAAAACAAACGAAAACCAAAGCGAGACAGTGAACAACAAAACTGACACGGACACGGCCTGAATGCAGATGGCCAGATCAGATTCAGAGTGATTGCCTCACAGAAATGGGGCAAACATTTTATAACAGAACTGAATCCTTTCGTGATGACACGGCTTTTGGCAAACAAGAAAACGATGTCGAACGCCTTACATCAAGTCAGCTGCAAGACTTCAGCCAAGTGCTCAAAATTGGAAGTCCAAACCAAGGTTCCCACTGAAAGCCATGACCTCACACTTGAGATGACTACGTGAAGGCACTTCCTTGAAGTCAGTCGGCTCTACCCAGTGAATTGACCTTGGATCGGCCACCCAATTCCTCAACACATCCATGGATTGATTGCAAGTGGGTGAGTAGTTATACTTCCCAATGCAGACACATGTAAATTCAATAATTGAGCTAGTAGCCCAAACGATCCTTCCAAAACGCCACAACGATTCAAACTTCAAGATTGCAAAACATACACACTTATGGATACGCGTACTGAATTGAAAGCCACTCGCCACACTCCCACCTAGGTATGAACGCCTAAGATTACCAAGAGTAAGTCCACGAAAAGCGACACTCGGCGACTGAATGACGACGGTACGTGCAAGTCTGCGGAGTTCAGTGGCACTTTACATCAAAGCAAGGGAGGACCAGTGGAGTCAATGTGTTCAAAGCAGGTATGTCAAATCGGCGTCCCAAGTTGATATCACAGACCAACGCAGGCGTCTTTGTTAGTGCCAGACTTGCATGGTCCCTGGCACCCCTTGCTCTTTATTCAAAAACAAATCTAAAAAGATCCCTATAACTCTAAGGGTTACCCCTGCTCTTTATTCAAAATACACAAACAAATCCAAAAGGATCCCTGTGACTCCAAGGGTTACACACACCAACAGCTCGCGTGATTCACTTTTCGATGCACCACAAGTTGCACAAACCACACTCCCTTATCCTCGCCTTAACCACTGGGGATGCGTTCAGAACAGCTGAGCTGCCGGGTAAGATTTGGAGAAAATGCATCCAGCACTCAACTCTTTACACATAAGCAACTTGTAAGAATGTAAGACTCACATACCAATTCAACTCTCTCAGGCCACCGCACCTCTCCCCGCCACCACGGTAGGGGGGCCCCACCAACCCGCGTGTAAAGGCAGTGACGGGCAACAAAACCCACTCACTCACACAACTGCGCCCGTTTGTTTCTTCTCCGCTTTCAATAGGCATCATTACTCATTACTGCATAGTGGATTGTTTTCGACGCGTCGCCATTTGCACATACAACACTCCGTTATCTTCGCTTCAACCACTGAGATGCGTTCGGGACAGCTGAGCCGTCCGATCATATTTGGAGTAGAATGCATCCAGCAGTGATGAACGTACACATGAAGTCAGCACTTCTCCCCGCGGTTTGCGGCCAAGGCCCGCTTCAATCACTGCACCCCGAAGCGCTCGAGCAAGGTCCTCCCGTTTAAGAGGTGTTGCTGGAATCATCTTGTAATCTTGCACCAACGCTTCAACAAGCATGTTCCTGCTAGCCCTTTTCGTTAACAAAGAACAAACGCCCCCCCCAACACACTGCCTCTTCACGCTCACCACTTCTGCTTGCGCAATGACACGCTCATCCACTACTGACTAAAGGCCAACAGGCGCAAAATCAACCAGTTTCCCCAATCGCTACTCCACACGAAGCAACATTTGTGAATGGGCAAATTCTTTGTTAAGAGATTGGCGAACAACCTCAGGGCAGCAACCAATCTCGGGGACACTTCACTCTGGTTGACGAACAGGAGCTGGCCATCTGCCACCCATCCCTCCTCAACTGGTCCACCTCATCAAGAGGAAAAGAAGACACGCCTATACCTCTGGCCTCTGGCCACCTAAAATCTTTGCGCCCAGCCTAACCTAGTGTTCCGCTGCTCGGCTTTCGTCACCATCAGGCTTGGCTGACTCTTCGCCCTCTCCTTCAGGAACTTCCTTGGCAGCACGTTTGGCCCACTCTTCAGAACCTTCCTGCACAGCCCTTCTCCCAGCGCATTACCTGGGACTTGGGTCTGTGGTACTTCTGCTTCTGGTGCTCGCTGGTGCATGAGCATCGTCCTGGACATCCGTTGCGGCCGCATCACGCGCTCTCCTGGCCATTGCAACCTTTTCAGCTCCCGCCGTCGGAGAACTTGACCTCGGCACTGCATCATCACCAGCTACATCGGCTGCCCTCACAGCTGTCAGTTCCTTGAGCCTGTTCGCCATCTCCTGGATATTCGGATAGTCTTCATCTGGAAGTTCGCTTTCTCGTGGTCAACCACGATCAAGTCACCTTTCTGAACGCCCCCCGGTCTCACGTGAAGCTCCTCTTCTGATTTCTAGCTTTCCTTTTGGTGACACTGGGCTTGCCCAGCCACCATCCCCCTTGAGAGGGGCTTTGTCATCCATCAGCTCTAATAGTCTAAACTTGCAGCCAAAATGGCTCACTGTGTGCAACCACTCACTCACCTGTTTTCCTTCATTGTTGCTACGTAACGTAACGGATTGCATTTCTATTGGCCTTTGTGCGTGTTTGTCACACCATTCTTGCTAGCGAGAATGAACAGGTCGCGGACTTTTAAAAAAATGTCCATCGATGATTAAAAAATGTTCAACGACCATTGGTGTGGATGATTGCCTTAGACGCACTCCACGTTAGACAGACCGCATGACTTCCATCAATCTAAGTATGATAAGTAGAAAGACCCAAAACTTCGTTGCAGCTCAAGCAGCTTATCACACAGTAGTAGCCTCCAAAACTGTACAAAAATGAATCGCCAAGAGGACATTGCGATTGACGTTGCACAGCTGATGACAAGCTCCTTCTAGGGATTTGCCAGCCCATGAGATCCAATATAATTCGCCATTTTGTTGCACTAGGTCACTAGTCATGCCAAATGCTTTTAATATGTCAACAAAGGCCTATGAAGCGCTGGAGCGACAAAAAAGGAACTTTACTTCAAAACCAGCCATGTTGAGACCATTTCAGATCAACTTGCCTTGTCTGTCCTCTTTCTTTGTGCACTTGGCACTTGGTCAAGAATTTGCTGCAACTTCGTGAGACATTCGTGACATGCATCCTTATTTTTGGAAGGTCTCCAACCCCTGGGATTCAAGCTCAGCAAATTTTGATAGTGATCTGCCTCATGAACAGCTTGTTTCTGCCCGTAACCAGTGAAGAGTTCACACTCCTGATCCAGCTCCATATACACATCTCCCTTGACCAGCTGGCAGAAGCAAATACATTCTGAGGGCTCGACCTGGCTCAACCCTCAGCAGCAGAACCATGCCGCGACGGAATGCGCCTGTACTTCTTGAGCCTGCAGCTGCAGTGGTTTGTTGGCAACTGCTTGGATCAAAGCGGCCCACGGCTCTCACGCATCTCTACAAAAAATCACATAGAAGTCACTTGCACTTTTTCATCTGTTGAAGGACTGCAAAGGCCTTGCGTCTCCCTTGGGGAGATTACTCCTTTCTGCATGTACGTCAAAGCCGATTTTACCGACTTTGTCTGACAAACTTCTCCGCGCAAATTACTGCGGCGAACAAAACTGTTCCGACCCAAATGTCACACTCAAAACCAATTGAGCGAGGCTCAAGTCTTTCATTGAGAGGAGCTCGCCCTTCTTCGCCTCCAAGTCTTGAACTAAGGTGGTCTCAAAGTCAGGCAAAAAAAAACGATGGACTTAGACTCTAGACAACAGCTGGCTCATCCCAACATGCATGTCTAGTCGGCCAACTCGTTCGCTTGTGTTGTCCGGACTCATGGGCCAAGGTGATGAAGCGACTCGTGGCTCCGAAAATGCTGCTTCTTGTTCCAAGGTGCCTGGATTCTGTTGGCAAACTTGTGTTACTCAAGGTCTCAACCAGCTGGGAGATATATCGTACTTTCAAGCTCATGGCAATAATATCACCTGGCAGGGTCCAAAGGTTTCACACGAGCGAAGGTACACTGAACTCAAATTATGCATATTATATATATATATATATGTCCCCCAAACTCTTTTCTCTGAAGCAGCGATGCATCCTTTTTACAGGAGCACCTCACAGTTGCTTCAGTGAGGCCAGCCGTCATGGCTAAACCTCAGGTGAAACTTCTCAGCTGCTAGCCCTCAAGAGAGCTAGCTGTCTGACCATCTTGCATGGCCAGACTTGCCAAGACCATCTTGTATGGCCATTCCTTCACCTCTTGCAGGCCTCACCATTCCACGCCAGGCCCCGGAAAGCACGCCAGTGCAGATGGGGGGCAGCCAAAGCTTCGAAGAGTAGGGGGACATATACTCGTAGCTCTACTTACGAAGAGGCAGAACTCATTGCAATGTCCCCCAAACTCTCTTGCATCCTTTTTACAGGAGCGCCTCACAGTTGCTTCAGTGAGGCCAGCCGTCATGGCTAAACCTCAGGTGAAACTTCTCAGCTGCTAGCCCTCAAGAGAGCTGTCTGACCATCTTGCATGGCCAGACTTGCCAAGACCATCTTGTATGGCCATTCCTTCGCCTCTTGCAGGCCTCACCATTCCACTTCTGCAGGGCGGAAAAAAGGACTCACCCCTTCCGCTTCCTGCCTTCCTGGCGTAGCCGCAAAAACCTCAATCGCCAAGTGCGAATCCTGGACGGCTGGGTAGAGGAAAGTTGACCTGGGCCAGTTGGCAGGTACCTTCATCAATGTACTGCTTGGCAGTTTTCCCACATGGCCACCTGCCACGCGCGATAGTGGCATCCAAGCTGAGTGAACTCTGAAAGTACCATGTAGCCCCACCCCTACGCAGGCTGTAGGGGGTATAATCATCCTCTGCGAAGCCCAACTGCTGAGGAAGCGTGGCAAACAGTTGGCGAAACCGGTGTGGACCCTCGGACCAAATGAGGCCCTTCTCTCTGGGTTGAAGGATGGAGGCAGCATAGGCAATTAAGCTCTCGTCCAGCACCAAAATCACTTGTGGATTGCCTTGGGAAGTCTTGCTGCCTGGGATAATGATGCTCATGCCACGGCCTTGCCGGTGAAGAACAATGTGTTGGTGGGACAAAGAAAGTTAAAGCCTATAGCTACCAGTGCAAATTCGCGGTAACCTTGTACATGAGCCAGGCCCATCATGGCCTCCACCACCAATTCCCAATGAGCTGGGACTGCCCGAGAGGGGACATAGCAGCGCTGCCAGTTGCGAAAATACTGGCCTGCAATCGGTAGCTCCAAGCGCAAGGAGGGGTGAAAACGCTTCAGCGCCGACAAGAGGTGACCCGAGTAGCTCATTGGCTCTCCCTCCTGGTAAGAAAGGTCGATAAATTCAGCAACCTGTTGGTCCAGCCGATGTGGCTTGGAGATGCTCAGCCGTCGCCGGCGTACGAATTTGAGAAAACGATCCAAAGCTGTGCGGTAAGCTCGAAGTGTCCTCGGGTGCAGTCCCGCGTACTGCAGGCTCTTCTTGTTACGTTTCATGGCTTCTGCTTGCCTTGTCCGCAAAGTTCCATCGACTGATCCAGAGCGGGAACATGTAGTTGTCCATTGCAAGCATGTAGGCACTACACCTGCAAGCCACTTTGTTGAGCCGCCGCGAACTGCTTCTTCCCTTTGCCAGGACTCCTCGTGAAACCATCGAGTCCAACACGTGGAAAAAGCGAAGGTGTTGCTTGGATCGTGTACGGGCTCGCCTCTTCAAAAAGACGGCCACCGCCAGGAGTTAAAATTCATTGATATGGGCCTCCTGTCGCCATGCATAGGACATGATTGTCCGCCACTGCCATCTCATGGCCAAATACGGTTGCTCACGCATTTGCCCTTCCAGCTCGAGGAACGTTCTCACATCTGTTCCTCGGTAAGTGGCATGCCTCAGGAGGGCTGCCAAATGCTCTCGCTCCTGGCCCTTCTCCATGTATCGCTCCTTCAAGGCCAAGCTCTCCGCCATGGGGGCTGCCACGTCTGGGTCTGCCAGACGGTTAGTGGCCAGCGCCATCTCCTCCAGGAAGTGAGCTTCTCTTGCCTCGGCCACCGCTGCATCAAACTGACCATCAGCTTCAATCTGCTCCCGAACTGCCCTGGCGTATGCCACACACATCTCCCATGGATACTCAGCCTCCTCCTCAGTGTCAAAGCGGAGGGTTCCGTCCGGGAGCTCTTCAACTTCATAGGAACGAAGAGCAGGGTGGCCCGGGCAGTCCATTGACAGGTGCCTCTGGAGCGAAGGGAGATCGCTCAGGATGGCGAACCACTTCACCCTCTCGCCGCCAAAGCAACAATGCGAGGCAATGGAATACCTCATCTCCGGCCACTCCTCCATCTCCTTCACCAGCCGGAATTCCCACATCCATGACCGCCGGGGGTGGACCTGCAAACCTCTCTCCGAACTTTGGAATCCTCCAGGTCCTCCTTGGGCAAACCTCGGCGCCTTCCCGATGCGTCAACACGCACGAGAGTGAACAGAGCGTTGCGCCACACACCGCTGGACCCGGGTAACGGTCATGCCCTGGGATGTCTTTCCCGCATTGTGCACATACTGCCGGATCCCGCTCAATGGTGCACGGCGCTGGCTGGAACTCAACAGCGGTCGCAGCCCCGCCCCCGGTGGGTGACGCATCTGTAACTGACACCCCGGGGTCGACTTTTGCCCTCAAGTTTGTATACATAAGCGGGGTAAGCAGCACCATGACCGCCACCTCATCCCATGCGTCTTGACGAGGTACCTCACGATCGTTCTGCGATGCCCTCTCGGCCACCTCTTCAAACACGTTCTCCAGGATGGCAAAGAGTGGCCTTCTAAAGCAACACCCGAAGGTTGCCTTCCCTATGAAGTGCCTCAGCTCGGCCTCCCACCACTTGTCTTTGGCCAACATGGTGGCTCCAAGGGTGATGACCTTGACCATCTTCTGAACCGATAGGCCGTATCTTCCGTCTTCACCGTCTAATTCGCCCCCTTGAAGAGCCCCCAATGTTGACGCCACCAGCCTTTTGCCCTCGTTCAGTGGCAACGACAGCTTCTCGCATACTCTCAGGAAGCGCTCGTGTCGCTCTGACATGCCAGCAGCCATCACCTCTTCACAGCCTTTCCTGAATTTCCTCAACTGGTCATATGAATCCAGATAGATCACCGTCAGATCCTCATCTGCAGGCACGGGCTGTGTCTTGGCGACCTCAGACTCCTGTGGGATGTCAGCTTCCTTGAAGACCAAAGTCCTCACTATACTCTGCAACACTGCCACGCTACTGACCCAGCCCATGGGCAGCACCGCCATAGCTGGGTACACCTTCTTGCCCTGTTCACCTCCCAGCAGGGACGCATCGACTGGCTTCTCAAACGCCATGAACTTGTGCCACACCGAGGGCAATCGGAACAGGTTGAAACAACTTGTGAAATCCTCTGAGTCCACCAGCCAGACTTCCTCCTCCCCTTGCTCCAGGAGGGTGAGCTGCCCCAAATAGGGCAGGAGCTTGTCATCGCCCTCCAGGCGGTCCTGAAACATGTTGCTGGGGATCAGGTTACTGATGAAGCGCTGTGCGCTGATCACTTGACCATCCACCTTTTTCTCCTTCTTCGCCGCTCCTGCTCCATTCAGGACTGGGCGCCCTTTCTGATCCTTGAACACCTCGTCCATCTCAACGGCCACCATCAGGCCTCGTTCATACGCTGCCCTGACCGCTTTGCTCCACTCCTCATCCGATGCCTTCACTCGCGACTGGCGGGGCTCCGACGGCCACTCATGCACCGGCTTGAGGCAGGATGCTGGGTCCAGCAGCTTCGCCTTCAGCTTCTCGGGCAAAAAGGTCAGGGCATCCTGAACAGCCGCCTGACCCACCTTCGGCCAGGCTGCAATGACTTTCTCCGCCCTGATCTCTTCCATTGCCACCACAGGTTCTCCCTAATAATCGAACCGCACAGTGGAGAGATGCTTCACTCTCCTCAAACCGGCCACACTTCATCTTGCGCTCCTCAACGTAGTCCAGAGCTCTCCTCAGGTGATCCACGGTCAGCTTCTGACCTTGTGTCAACTCCTTCTTGAACTCTGACATCGACCAACCGCCTTGACCTTGCGACTGAGCCAGATAGTTCAACGCACTCACCATGCCAGCCACCCCCTGCGCCCGAAGCTCGCCTGAAGGATGGAGGTAGGCCAATGCAGCTTGTGGGTTAATGGGCAGCAGCTCATCGCCTCGCACTGACTTGGAGGACTTGTCCTCAGGAGGTGCTCCTTGTCCAGAACCCAACTGCACTAGGCGACTCAGCGGCGTCTTCTTGCTCAACTGGCGACCGCTCCACAGCGAGAAAACCCTTCAGGCCACCTGTTCTCATGGACACAGGGGGTTGGGATGGCTCTCTCAGGGGTTCGTCGGCCTCTAATCCTTCTTCTCTTTCTCTTTTTCTCCTCCTTTGCCTTTTCCTCTCTCTCTGCCTTTCCGGCCGCCCTTCTCTTGACTTCCTTTTCCGTCTTTGCCTGCCCTCGGGGTGCTGTACCCCTTCAGCTTGAGGTCCAGGAGGTGTTCTCGGTTCATGAACACCTCCTCGTCTCTCTCCAGCAGGCCGCCGGAGTCTGGGCCTAGCAGCTCCATGGAACTGCGCTGCCTGCCAGTGGCCGTCGTGGCAGCTCTTCTCGATGGCCTTCAGGCGCTGACCCAGGACATCGGCCGCATGGGCTGGAAGCTTCCTCGCTAGCATGTCGAGGGCTGCGCACAATGTCCTCATCTCCCTGTGAGCTCTCATCCCCAGACGCTGACCCAACTGCGGCACGATCATGGTGTGGAAGTAGTGCACTGCTGATGGCGGGGTCAGCTCTCCTCGGTCGGCTGGATTCGCCCCCACACCCCTTGGGCTCCTTCGACTTGCATCTTCAAGAGCAACCTTGAAGCCAGTCTGCCCGGTGTTCTCTTGGCGTACTGCATCAACTTGAGTTGGTTTGATGCTTTTGGGACTGCGGGGGCATCGCGAAAAACCGCCTCCGACTCGCTGGAAGACTCACCGTGGTACCTGACGATGTCTCCTCCACCAAAGGGCCCACGGTCTCGCCGGCCTTTCTTGCTCACAGCCGCGCCTTTCTCTTCCACTCCTTCACCAAAGAGTCCCTCCTCCTCATCGTCACTGTAGGAGGAGGACTCTTCGACCGCCTTCTTCTTCTTTGCCACGCGTGCCTCTTTGGCCTTTTCAGCCTCGGCCCCAGCCTCCTTTCGCTTCTTTCTTCCACCTCCTGAGGAGGGTGAACCTTTCTCCTTAGGCCGCTTCTTCTTGGCCTTAACCTCGCGATCCAGTCTCTTCTTCTTCTTTGCCTTCTCCTTCTTTTCCTTTGAACTGGTCCCTTTAATGACCTCCTTTTTGCCCGACAACTCACGCTCCAGCCTCTTGACTTCATCACGGGCCTTCACCAGCTTAGCCTTGAGGCCCTCTTTGACTGGAGCTTCACCAGAGGACCCTTCTTCATCTTCTTCAGAGTCCTCTTCACCTGGGTCGACCCAGGGTAAAGCAGCCTTTGGGTCCTTCTCCTTTGGGTTCATGCCCTTCTTCTTCAGGAACTCCATGAGGGACTTTGAACCTCCCTTCTCAAAAGCCCAGGCTGGCACCCGGTTGTTGATCTCCTTCTGTGTGAGCACACGGAACTTTTCCACGTGGATTGAAGCTCCACGACGGGTGACCTTGCAGTCATGAGACGACTCCTCGCAGAAGTGGTATGCACACTTGGCTGCCAACTTCTTTCCTTCGCCCTCAGTCATCCACCACTGCATATGGCTGTCGCTCGCGCCAAGGTATTTGGCGGTGACCCAGTGGCCCTGATCATCTGTCGACAGGGCAGCCACGATCTCAAGGATGATGGTGCCCTGCGCATGCCCTTCGCCATCTCGAATGGCGCTCTCGACCACCTGGCCGGGCTTGAACCGGTGGCCATACCACTTCACATTGGGGTGGCAGGGGGGTAACACAGTTGCCCTTCAGCCAAAGCTTCGAAGAGTAAGGGGGGACATATACCCGTAGCTCTACTTACGAAGAGGCAGAACTCATTGCAATATAATGTTGCTTTCCTGAGATGCCACTGCCAAGTATCCAAGAAAGAAACCATTTAAAAGCTTTTGTGTCCACAACCGAACAGGCTATTGGTACAAAGGTCGGCATAAGAAGACTCTGGCCTTTGGTGACGTGCCCTCGCATGCTCATAAGACCGGAGATCAACTCATCAACATTCAGAAGCCCTCCAGAATCAGCGTCCAAAATGTCAAACAACTGGGTACCTTAGTGAAGGACCGAATTTTGACAACACAAGAATGTTGTGCTTTGGTAAACATGCAAACCCATAGGTGTCTTCTTGAACATCTTAACTGAGCAAACAAGACGGACCAAGGCTTGAACGGATTGACGTGTCAATGCCAGCTCTCTCTAGCACGGCAGTGAACGAATCGTGTTCCAACCACTTTGAGAATCGGTCCCTGGTCCTTAAGACAATTCGGACAAAGATGTAAAGTGTTTTCCACCTGCTTGAATGCCTTTGACCTTTGGAGTGTGTATGAAAAGGTCAAGGCCCTCGCACAGTCAAATCCAATCTTGAAAGGATCTTGTCCATGGCCTGACTGAGGGGAAGTGGGCAAAGAGGCATCACACATAGTTTGAACACATCGCACCATGTTGCGTTTGCGCCGAAACAAAGGTTATCAGTTGGTGTGTTGATAGTAAACATGTCGCACAATAAGCACTGGAGAAAATGGCCTGACAGCATGTCACCTTCAGTCTCACACCAACAAAATTTTACAAATTATAGAAGTTTACTGTAACCTGAGATCCGTTTCCATCCAGATTACAAGAATTGTTGTGACCCAGTTTGCTTCAGTTTTTTAATGCTTCCGAACGCGGCCTTGCACTGATGTTTCATGTCAAGTGTGTGCAGATCATGCGGAATGTCAACAGGCTGGTCTTCGAATCCTTAGAATGAAGTTGCAATAGGGCAACAGCTACAACCGAGTGAGCCGCAGTAGGTGTGAGGGTAATCAACCATGTGGCCTGCAAGTTGTTTACCGTAGCTCGGGTTGTCTCTGAATTTGAATGAACAAAGTTTACTCCACACATCCATGCTGCCCAGGCACCAATGATGTCAGCAATGGCCCGCCTGAAAAACCATGTCAAGTCGCAGGACTGATGATGAAAAAGTTTGTGCTTCCACAAATCCTGGTAGTACTTTGGGGAATCACATCACACTGAGACCTGAGAAGGGGGAGACACAAAAAGCCCGCCCGCGGCGAAGGTGCTGAGGCGGTTTGTCGGTTCGCATACGCAGGCTAAAATTGTTAGATAGTATATGTGAAGCTTTAGCTTTGGGGGGTGCGGGGGGTGCATTTTTGTTTTGAATACAATGTTTTTATTTTTAAAAAACGGATAATTATTGACATCGTGCGCACGCTTGTCCGTGCGGCTTCGGAGCTAGACATTAGCGATGTCGGCCACGCAACCCGAGGCAAACTGCATTATTGACCTCGCGCGTGGGTGTGGGTATGCGCCCCTTGAAATCACAGGGATCCATTTGGAATGCGCTGCCTGTCGCTTTACCTTCTTTTTCGCTAGCAGGGTAGCGGTGGGCATTCTTGAAGTCACCGCTCAACGAAGACACTTCAAGTTTTTGGGGATATGCAATCCGGACGCAGATTGCACGTAACTGCGCGAAGATGATCACCACTCATTTCCTTTTGGGCCCCCTTTGTCACTAGAACAAGAATTCCAGCCATCGCGCCTGGTTGCATCGGCAGTCACGCACTTGTTTTGAGCTTGAAGTTTGAGCTTGGAGGTTTGCAGGATTCTCGTCGCTTTGAGGGAAGTCATTTGGTGGTGCTTGCACCTGACACCTTAGGCGGTTTTACTTAGGCTGGCGTGTGGCACCGCATTCACATCCGCACGCATTTCTATAAGTGCGTCTGGCTTCATGCCAGCCCAGGGTGACCCCGAAGAGTGGTCCCTGTGGACCCGTCGAATGGGTGTTTGTCTTTATCTCCCCTGCCCGGAGATGCACGTGCCCAGAGCAGGCGGAGTAGGCTTACGCCAAAGTTATTTGCCAAGAGTTGCTGAAGTATTGAATTCCAAGCTGGCTCACGCCTCTACGTGACCGCAGCGGTCCAAGCTGGCTTAACGCCTCAACGTGGTCAGAGCGACCAAAGCATCTTTTGAGGTTCGTTGGAACCTGTCGGAGGCAGGTCTTCCTAGGTCGTTGTAATGAGGTTTGGTTTCATCAGTTCCCGTCCCCTCCATTTGGTTCCCTTTTCATCCCTTCCCCCTTCACACACTTCTTTTTCCTCTCTCTTTTCATGTCTTCCCTTGCTTCATGTCCTGTCATCTCACTCCTTTCTTTCCCTTGCGCGCTCAACGGTCCGGGCCTTAGTTTGTACGCGCACATCCACTGTACACTTAGGTCTCAGGTCGCCCAGGTTCTGAAAATGAGGTTTGGCTCACTGTTCGTTCCTGTGCATCTGGTTCCCTCTTCATCGCAACCGCCTACACCTTTGTCCTGTCTTGTCCTCTTTTCATGTCTTCATCTTTTTGTCCTTGGTTGCGTGCACCTGTGCACACGCGTCTTCACCTTAGTTTTCGCCTCCCCTCGGGGAGGCGTGTGTGTGCGCCCCTTGAAATCACAGGGATCCTTTTGGAATGTACTGCCCGTCTTTTTACCTTATTCTTTTGTTAGCAGGGGAGCGGTGGGCATTCTTGAAGTCACCGCTCAACGAAGACACTTCAAGTTTGCTTTGATATGCAATCCGGACGCAGATTGCACGTACCTGCGCAAAGATGATCACCACTCATTTCCTTTTGGGCCCCCTTTGTCACTAGAACAAGATTTCCAGCCATCGCACCTGTTTGCATCGGCAGTCACGCACTTGTTTTGAGCTTGAAGTTTGAGCTTGGAGGTTGGATTCTCGTCGCTTTGAGGAAAGTCATTTGGTGGTGTTTGCACCTGACACCTTAGGCGGTTTTACGCGTGTGGCACCGCATTCACATCCGCACGCATTTCTATAAGTGTGTGTGTGCCCCTTGTAATCACAGGGATCCACTCGGATTGCGCTTTCTTCTTCTTCATTTTGTTTTAAGCAGGGGGCTGGAGTGTGCTTCAGATGTCTCCAGCCAACGAAGACGCATCTGTCGCACAGTGATATAGTTCTGGGACGCCAGAACTACGTACCTGCCATTTTCAAACGGAATGGCACGAGGCTAAGCCCAGAACCTCCTGACATGATTCCTAAGTAGCCGCAGACTTGCACGCTACGACGTCAACTTGTCGGTTCGTCGATCGGTTTCTTCCGCTTTGGGCCTCACTTCCTCTTGAAGACCCCCAGGCTCTTTAGGGCTTTTTTGGATCTTTCAGGATTTGGGTTTCTTAGGCTGGCGTGTGGCGCCGCTTTCAGTTCCGTACGCATATCCATAAGTGTGTTTGGCCTTGCGCCAACCCGGGATGAGCCCGCAGAGTGCCTCCCGTAGACCCGTCGAACGGGGGTTTGTCGAACGTATCCCCTGCCTGGATACAGAGCAGCTCGCAGCGAGCGTAGGTGGCTTATGCCTCAAGAACTGGGATGTTTGTCTCATTTTTGGAATTCCAAGTTGGCTCATGCCTTTACGTGACCGCAGCGGTCAGATCAGCCAGCCACTTCGGCAGGGCGCAAGGTGACCACAGCGGTCAAAGCCCATTTAAGGTTCATTGGAACCTGTCCCACTCTCAGGTGCACACACAGCGCATACAATCAAACGAGGCGAGGTCCCTAGGCGTTTCTAATGAGGTTTGGTTTCATCGGTTCTCGTCCCCTCCATTTGGTTCCCCTCTCATCCTTTCCCCTTCACACACTTCTGTTTCCTCTTTTTTTTCATGTCCTCCTGTCTTCATGTTTCGTCATCTCATCCTTTCCTTTGTTTGCGCGCACATCGGTCCTGGCCTTAGCGTGTACGTGCACATCTACAACCCAGTTTTTAGGTCGCCCAGGTCTCGACAATGAGGTAAGGCTCATCGGTTGTCCCTGTGCATTTGGTTTCTCTTTCATCGCAACCACGCACACTTTTGCCCCGTCTCGTCCTCCTTCTCATGTCTTCATCCTTTTTGTCTTTCCTGCGCGCACATTTGCACATTCGTCCTAGCCTTAAGTTTTGCCTCCCCTCGGGGAGGCGTGTGTGTGTGCCCCTTGTAATCACAGGGTTCCACTCGGATTGTGCTTTCTTCTTCTTCATTTTGTTTTAAGCAGGGGGCTGGAGTGTGCTTCAGATGTCTCCAGCCAACGAAGACGCATCTGTCGCTCAGTGATATAGTTCTGGGACGCCAGAACTACGTACCTGCCATTTTCAAACGGAATGGCACGAGGCTAAGCCCAGAACCTCCTGACATGATTCCTAAGTAGCCGCAGACTTGCACGCTACGACGTCAACTTGTCGGTTCGTCGATCGTTTTCTTCCGCTTTGGGCCTCACTTCCTCTTAAAGACCCCCAGGCTCTTTAGGGCTTTCCTGGATCTTTCAGGATTTGGGTTTCTTAGGCTGGCGTGTGGCACCGCTTTCAGTTCCGTATGCATATCCATAAGTGTGTGTTCGTCCGCCCGTCCTGCCCGGCAGAGCTATTTTTGGGGAAGTAGGCGGTAGAGCTACCAAGATGGTGGAAAGCTACCAAGCTGAGACTCGGAGTACGTGGTATAGCTCAGCACGTCGTTTTCGCATCGTTGACTTTGATCGAGTCAATTCATATTTAAATCTAGAAGCTCATTGGAGACTATCAGGTGTACTGATGACCTTGTAATTAATTCTACTTCGGCTGCGGCAAAGTGTAGAGTAAGTAATGGCATGAACACAACAATACGAAGCAAACATATTCCACTCATGTACATAGTTGTTGTTCAACCCTTAGGGATGGGCGGCACTATGCTGTCTGTGAAGTGACAGGAGTGTATAACCCTTTTTCGTATATCTCAGGCTTGAAGAGACAGAGGAGAATATATATATATATAATATATTAATTTGCCAAAGCACTGTATTGAAACTTGCGATTTGAGAGCAGTCTCGGCCAGCTCCTTTTGCTTTCGCAAGGTTTGTTGGCTCACCACCTTATGTGCAGTGTCTGCATCGTGTTCTTCAAATGTAAAGCTGCTCATGCCCACCTCATGTTCATCCCCAACCTTCCGCGCTCAAGTATCCTCTTCTAAGGCTGCTGCATTGTCCAAAAAGATTGCCATGATCCTCAATGTGGACGCTGCGAACATATCAAACATTCGTAAAACATCCGTAGAGTGAAGTCCGCATCCATAAAACACAAAACACAAATGTTTTGCCAACCACAGGGAAGCATCAAATTGAAAATACCAACCTCAGCGTGGCATATTAAGTCACAGTAAGGCCGATGCTGCCGCTTCTCTTTCTTGAAATGACCCCCTCCTCTCATCGAAGACCAATTTCAATAGTGACTTCAATAGTCTTCAACAGAGTCACTTACACTATTCACCATTCAAACCCATTCAACATATCTTACCTTTGATCTTTAGTGCTGGGTGATGCATTTTCACTTCTGATTCCACGGTCAAGCGGCATTGACCAGCATGAAGACAAGAATGTAGGCAAGCATGAAAAGTCCTGACAAGCAAATGACACAATCTAAGCAAACACAGACTTCCACACCTAGATCTTCTAAGATTCTAAGGCTAAGGATTTGTTGACGCATGATTGCCTGCAAAAAATAGAACTACTCCACTCAGAAGTGTTGCCTCCAAGATCACCAAAAGTCTCGGTTCTCAAGTGTGCTGTTAAAGGAGTCCCATTGAATGCACTACCTCGACAAAGGTTGCTGTAAAGAAAAGTCCAGGCCCAGCACACTGCGCACAATTCTGCCAGCCAAATCAATCTCACTGGTTTTTCTACACCAGGGAGAACAAACTCACATTGAAGCTTTGCATTCATAGCTAAGGAGAGCACATCCATCAGTCCAGCATCCTCAAAGTAAGATGTCTGTTGGCATCAACGCATGCAGGACTTAACTAAAAAAGGTCGTCTCGAAATGAAATCTAGAGAATGTTGAAAAACACTCCAATGAAACAGGAACTGGGAAATGGAGGTTCCACACACCGGATCCCTGAGCCCAGCGCTGAAGATGGTGAACATGCTATCTGGCAAAGTCCTGAATTCGGCCTCGTGCAGCTTTCGACAATCTACTGGCTGAAGCATTTGGCCCAATTAAATGTGTGTGTGTGTGCAGCCTCGTTCTCAGCCAAGGTTGCCATGCCAATCCCGAAGACATACATGAGAAGAAATAGGAGCACCTCGGTTGGAGACAGCACAAAGAAGGGCAACTTGCACCAACTCTGAGCAGGCCGACAATAGCCCAGAAGAGCACGCGCAAACCAGAGAAAACACCCAGAACAATCCTCAGTGTCAAGGCACACCCAGTAGAAAGAATCTGCAAGGGCACAAGTTGGGAGGTTTGCACAATAGTTTGCCAATTGCGGTGTGCTGAATGCCAACAATTGTGAAAGTCGAACACTACTACCGGCACACAAACCAACACTACAAGCCGCTCACCGCTTATTGCTTACCCTCCGAGCGTCGCCCGCAGCTCTGTGAAGAACTCAAAATGGAGTGTTCTGACAAGACGTAGCAAACGAGCCAAGCGTGCGACCTGCCAGAGCTCCATGATTTTCCAGGTTGTTCGTGACCAAGCTCTGCCGAAACCCGCAAGTTGGATTCATGGAAGACAAGCTAGGTCAGAGTGACCGGCATTTCGCTGTGCTTCCGCAGGGCTACAAATCTTTTGCTATTAAGTGAACCCTGGCTCGAGTTGAGTGTGTTCAGTCCAAAAGGAACGTGAAAGAGATGCTTTGCAAGATCAAAAGGTCCGCCACATGGTCCGCCACATGGTCCGCCACATCTCAAGGCCCGCCTTGATCATTGAAGCAGAGCCCAATGAAAAGTTCGCATCGGTCAGGAGGACCAAAAAGATCAATATCACGTCAGTTGTTGATAGGAGCAGACAGAAGAAATCAAAACAATTCCATCTGCACCAAGACGAAAAATAGTGCACACGTCAGAGTTCAAAAACGAACGAACTGAACTAATTTGGATGAAGCTCTGCTCGCTATCATGTGCAATGTGCATCACAATTGTGCGAACCAGCCCAAGCCCTTTCTTTCATGAATGGAAGTAGCACTGTGTGAGTACACATGAAGACTGCCGGTCTTGAGGCCTCCAATCAACACCTGAATAGTATTCCCGCCAGCCCAGAGTGGCAATTTTGTAGCCAAATTCAATGCCGTAACATATTGCCTGGGCTGGCAAGAGCTCCTCCCTCCACACAAGCAGGTGAGCCGCGAATTAAACCCTTTACGCCCCATTGCGAGTATACAGTACAAGCAGATCTGTCCACGGGCTCACACCCTAACTCCAGCTACCACTTCGGAACAGCTGCGACCCCCTTTCGATAATACGATCGAAAGAAAACCTATAAGCCTAATGGCCCTGTTTTTGAACCAGTGGTAAGCTGGTTGGCTAGAAATGTAAAAACATGTTCCTTCGTTTGCACTAGTTGGCAGCGCCTGGCAATTTCAGGGCCTTTTGAAAGCTCTCAAGAGAAATGATGCTCTTCAGAACTAGATCAGGCTTGATGTCAAATTGTGTCTTGCAGTATATCTCACCATATTGCAGCCGTTGCAGAAGTCTGCCTTCAAGAGAGGAAATGTCCCGACCCCAAGTTTCACCAAACTATATAATCCAAGATACCCTAGAGTAACAATCAAATGTTTCTTTACAAATTACAAGCCCTAAAGCTCAGATACAAAAATCAGCTCCACAAAGCCCCAGGCGATGTGCTCGGGTTGATTGTCTACAGCAATTCCCATTGCAAGAGTGTTCAACCTGCAAGCGAAGCCGTGTCTGCTAGACCACATTTTTGCAAAATCACAGAACCCATCTTGTCAACAAAACACCAAATTAGCAATCAAGCTTCACAAGTAAAGAAAATTATGTCGTCGAAGTCACATAATGACAACTGTGGGGCCATTTTCAACTAAAAATCGCTTCAAATGCACGATGTGTATTCCTCTTGCCGCCAGGCCTTGGTGCAAATGGAAATTCAAAAGGACCAATGACGTCTTAAGAAAAGAACAAAAAAGAACTAAATGTCTAAAAAACAAAAAGAGTAGTTCAATAGTCCGCAAACAAGACACCTGAATTTGAACGAGAAATGGTCTTGGACTGTTGAAATCTGACATTTGCAGCCAATTGATTTTGCTTGGGAGGTTTGGCCAGGTAGTCCTTGCCAAACGCCTCTTCAAATTGGTCTTCCATGCACTCAGGTGGAGTTGTTTCTCGGAGTGCTACTGGGAGCATTGCAACCTTCTTCAGATTCTGCGCAGACCCAGGTGACTTTGCACCAAACTTCAACTCCGCATTCTCCCGTTCAAGTGCGCTTTTTTCCTCCACCAAATATTTTATTCGACCTTCCAATCGGTCGAAATCTTGAGAAATTTGGTTCAGCTGCGATCGGAAATCTTCAGCAAGGTGATCCTCAGCCAAAGCTAAATCGATGTGGACTCAAATTAGCGTCCTCCCCTAAAGCCCTTCACAAATAAGTCCAGGCACCAGTGATGCCATCGGCAAATATGATAAAGCAACAAAAGTTGTAATTGAAATAGGTTGTTTAAACGTGTGTTTAGGTGATCCAAGGATTTGGGTGCAGTAAATGTTGCTTCATCAAGAAACATGTGCCTCTGCAAGAACCCTGAACAAACTTTCAATGCACATTGTCTGGTTGAAATGACAATTTTCTGCTAGCAACACATAGCTGGGAGCCGGAAACAGCTAACACGCAGCAAACTCAAAAATTCAACTATGGGTTACAGTGCCTAGAAACATTGATAAATGTTGCGGACCATGCGACTGACAATTCTGGTGTTGCCGAAAACCCGTTCCACCTGTGGACTTGGCAGCATCGGAACTGCAATCCAAAGAAATAAGTTTCATGGTTCACATTTTGACTTTGACGGCAGGAACTTCATCAAAAATCCGTCAGACATGTGGCAATCCCTCGTATGGATGTCTGACTGTTTTGCTTGAAAGGACCTCAGCCTTGGTCGTAGGTACTAGACGGGAAACGTCTATCACCCTTCCTTTCTGGCATGGAGACATCAATTCTCATGGAGAAAACACTTCGCGCACGTGGACCTGCTCAGCTCTCCATGTTGAATAACTAGCACGTTCATGCCATTCAACCGCCACCTCAACTCTTGATCCTTTCTTACCGTCACCTTTCTCATAAGGCCCTGTGCGCTCACCTGTTGAGCATTTCACTTCTCTGCCATAGTTGTTTTCCTTTCACCTCATGTTCATCTCTTCATGGCAAACTCGCATCCTGATATTTTCCTCTTCATCTGGGTCCGTTGCATCACGTGGTGCCCTCCTTCTATGTGCTGGTTCATCAAGTTCCGCTTCGTTTTTTCTTGGCTTTCCCATTGTGCCAAAGCTCACACTGACCCAGCCGGCTGGCCATCGTGATTCGTGTGTCGGACATTTTGGTCCTCATGGTTTGCTTGCACATGATGCATGACGATAAATGTGTTGTTTAGTCTCATCGACCAAATGTAGTTGATGACTCTTTTGTTCATGGGGACACCTTCCTGCACATCAACGCAACACTTCATGAATGTGTCAATGCCATCATTGATGATATCAACAACCTGGCGGAACAGTTTTTGTCTTTTCTCCAACCGTGTGGCCACACAAGGGGCTCTTACGGCAATGGTTAAGGCACGGGTCTGATCAAGGTGCTCGCATTCGTGTGCGGCTAATTCGCTGCTATTTACAGTACATTTATTCACCTCGAGATCTTCAAAATGCATTTTCAGAGCGGGTGTGTAAATTTCATAGCACGCGCAAACATGGTGGTGATCTTCGGTGTGCTGTGATTTCGTGGGAGGTGCATTGAATTGTGACGTTTGGACATGTGACATGTGGTTCGTTTTGAGAAATCCGAAGTTTTGGAAGTGTTTTTGCTGCGAATCGCCTGGGCAGGCTGCACGAATTGAATCTTAATAAGTGCAAATTTCGTGTGAGGGAACGCTTTGTGAACCTTGAGTGCACATGGCACGCGACACTTTTTCCAAGTTTGAAGTGCAGATTTTTGGCAAGCGCAGCGCTTTGTGAACTTGAGGTGCAGATTTCGTGGGACGTGCAGCAAATCATCGCTTCTCTCCAACGTGGGGCCTCTAGACCTCAAAAACTCTGCACCTAGGCCTTCAATTGTGATTCTAAACTAAACCTGGTTTGTGTCACCACCATGCACCACCACCACGACCATCACCACCCTCATCGCCACCACCATCATCACCACCAATTAACCACCATCGCCACCATCACCACCACCACCATGACCACCATCAATCACCACCATCACCAACCCCGTAGCCGCCTCCACCACAATCACCACCATCTGCCACACTGTTTGGGGTCTCTTGCCGCGATACTTGAGATGTGTATTTGACGCCTCCATCCTTGGTCAGAAGCGATCCCATCTTCCTTGGTTTGCGTTCCTCTCCTCCAACATACTTGTCCAAATAACATCACCTCTGCTCAACTGTAAAGCGCTGTGTCAATAGACCCATGTGTTGTGGAATCGTGCCAGCTGTTCCTCCATCCTCCCGATCATTGTCATCCCTTTCATCGACCGGAACGGCCTCGACATAAACGTGCTGCATTCTGACTGATGTTCGTCGAATGAATGTCTGGTGCTGTGGTCAAGTTGCAACCAGTCCCTCTTATTCTTTTGACGCGGGCATAATTCCACCCAGCGAAGTCAAACACCTTGAATGAAACAAGAAAAGTGAAACAACCAAACAGCCGGCCAGGAGCCAAGTGTTTTCGAAACATCAAGGAAACCAACTTTTTTCGTCGACCAACCAGGCAGAAACGAAATCAATGTGTATGATGATCGTTTGATCCTTAATTCTCCCGGCAAGAAACCCCAAACAGTGTGTGTGTGTAGAGCCCTTGGAGTCATAGGGGACCTTACGGTCTGTATGGTGGCAGGGGGACCAGGCATCTTGCTGCTGACCTGGTCTAACAAAGCTCGGTAGCAAGATGGGATGGCGGAGTTCCTCCAACTTCCTAGTGATGCCCTCTAACCTACCCTTGCCGTTTTACTCAAGCCACTTTTCCCCTTAAGGCTCTAAGGTTGGCGCGTGGCAAACCGAGAGCCCAGGGCGTACCCGAGGAGTGTCCCCTGTGGCACCATCAACCGGCGGGTGTGTCTACTGTGTCCACTGCCCGGATACCAAGCAGTCCGCAGCGGACAAATTAAGGCTTGAGCCAAAGTCATTTGTCAAGACTGGACAAACTATCACATTCAAAAGCAGGCAGCTCTTGAGCAGGCCATAAGGTGACCGTAGCGGTCGGAGAGCCAGCCAGTTTGGCAAGGCGCGCGCGGTCGCAGCGACCAAAGCTTGTTCAAGGTCCACTAAAACCTGGTTGGGTCCTTAATTCCCTCCCCTCCCCTTTCCCTCTCCCCTCTTCTTGCATTTGGGGGTCTCCCTGGGCGCAATACCCAGGTACACCCCTCTCCTTGGACGATCATTTCGTAGCTGGGAACACCTCTTCTCTTCTCTTCTCTTCTCTTCTCTTCTCTTCTCCTCCCTTCCCTGCTCCTCTCTTCCCTTCTTCGCCTCTTCGTCTCTTCGCCTCTTCCTCTCTTCGCCTCTTCGCCTCTCCTCCTCTTCTCCTCTTCTCCTCTTCTCCTCTCCTCCTCTCCTCCTCTCCTCCTCTTCCTCTTCCTATCTTCTTCTCTTCCTCTTCCTCTCTTCTCCTCTTCTCCTCTTCTCCTCTCCTCCTCTCCTCCTCTCCTCCTCTCCTCCTCTCCTCCTCTCCTCCTCTCCTCCTCTCCTCCTCTCCTCTTCCTCTTCCTCTCTTCTTCTCTTCCTCTTCCTCTCTTCTTCTCTTCCTCTTCCTCTCTTCCTCTCTTCCTTTTCCTCTTCCTCTTTTCCTTTTCCTTTTTATTTCTCTAGCTTCCCTTCTTCTTCGCGAGCCACGTGCTTGCAAGGAAACGAGCGTTGGACTTAAATCATAGTATAGAAAAGTCTATCTATATCACAAAGAAGACATTCACATGTATTTCAAGCACTCTTAATATTTAATGTTTTTCAATTGCTGGAATTCTGATTCAAAGTTCATCAGGTTTCCCCTGAAGGAAATTCCAACCCCATTAAAACTTTTTTTTGCACGGGTGGAGGCGCTATGTGTGCCGAGAGGCACAAGTCACCTTAATAGAATTAAATAGGGACACTAAGGAGATACGAGCCAGGCACCAGAGCAAGGCACAACACCACAAACCCAACCAACAAACAAGAAACCCAAAACAAACAACCAAAGCAGCAAGGTTCGTATCTCAGAAGGGCTTTTCAAGCCGAAACAAAAGTTGAGTGAAAAAGGTGAAAAGGGGCTCTGAATTCGTTCTTCTACTTGCGCTCAGTACTTGATGGTCAGGCAGCAACGATGTTCCTTTCTGCGGACAGTGAGTATCTGTGTGGCAATGATGATCATCGCCCATGTGTGCGAAGAGCACCCAAGAATGTGCAGGAGTGATGGGAGCGTTTACGACCAATCGCAGTTGCAGCTCGGCAATTTGTGACTTATTTCAAAGAACACGGCTTTGCAAGCACAGCTTCGGATTGGCACACATTGACACCTGAATGGAATTGCATTGGTTTCGCAATCAGTTTTGTTTCCGACTTACAGTGATCAAAATCCCGAGGAATGTGTGTGGAGAGCACGAGTTGATTGAGCGCAGTCAACCATGCTACTTTTTTTGCACGGGTGGAGGCGCTGTGTGTGCCGAGAGGCGCAAGTCACCTTGATTGAATTAAATAGGGATACTAAGGAGATACGAGCCAGGCACAAGAACAAGGCACAGAAACCCCAAACCCAACCACCAACCCAAACAAAACACAAACAACCAAAACAAAAACACCACAAACCGCAACCCGAAAAGACTGGGCTCGTATCTCCACAGGACTGTCAGAGCCGAAGCGACTGTCATGAAAGAGTGGTGAAACGGAGCATGAATTAATTGTTCTGTCTGCGCTCAGTTCGCGAGGATCAGGAGGTAGCGGACTTCCTGCAGTGAGTGCCAATGTGACAAGTTCCGTGCAGGCTGGTCTACCAGACAAGTGCACAAGCGTCTGCAGAAGTAAGGAACATTGCAATTAGAGCACTGTGCAGAGGCGAATCATGACTTGTGTCCAAGAGCGCGACATTGCCTCTGACAGATTCAGATTGTTCCGAGCAGGCCTCGAGAAATATCTTCGTGTTCCACCTGTGCCCATGGGACTTGATGATGTTGGTGAACGAGCACCTCAAACACCTGAAGTAAAAAGGCCAAAGATACCATCAGGAGAAGAGATGATGGCCGATGATGGTGATCCTCAAGAGCCTCCAAAGAAGATTTCGAAGTCAAGTGAGGACACAAAACAGCTCTATCCACCGCACTATGCAGGCAATGTTAACCAAGCTTCTTTTCCAGTTGATGATGAAGCATGGGAGAAGGAGGTAAAGAGTTTGGTGATGAGGATGGCAATCTATTTCCAATGGAGGTGGAGAATGCCGATGAATGTGAAAACACGGAAGCGTGTGCGACCCTTTTGCG